GAGAGACGAGGAGGTGAACCATAACTTGTATAGAGACAAGAAGGAAAACAAAGATGTTATAAACCAAAAAATAAATCGAAATCAAGCTAATAATAACAATACATAGATTACATGGGATCATCAATACATCATAGCTAACACGAACTCAAACTTATCCATTCCAGGTGAGTGAAATCTTGGGGTGTGAATTAGAAATAGCAAGGGAGAAACCTTGCGACGACAACTTGGAATATGAAAGGGTACGAAGACCCGATCACTGCTAAAAGTGAAGCGATGTTGAACTTCATTGAGTTGATGAAGAATATAAAGGGGCAAAACATTAAGATCATAACCGATTGCAAATTTATCGTTGACACGATAAATAATAGGAAATATTAGCAGATTAAAGTCAATAAAATGAGGAATCGGTGGGAAAATCCTGAAACAAAGAAGAAAGCATGTATGGATTTACATAGGGATGAAGAGGAAATAAATAACTGGCTTCGAGAAGTGGGGGAGACGATGTTGAAAATAAGAGATAGAACACACTTAGAGATTTTGGAAAAGCAAATATGGAAAACCCTAAATAATTTTAGACACTGGCCTCTAATCCATGTTAGCAGAGTTCACAATAGTATAATAGATTTTTTGGCCAAACAATCCCCGACAATGATGCCACTTTATTAAGATTGCAGTGAAATAGGGTTTTGTATATCATCTCCACAGGGATTATCATGATATCACTTGTCGCTCTGCAGTTTAAAATGTTTTAAGAATGGTGTTCCAAGTTTGTTTGTTTTGGATCATAAGTTTGTCATGATTTTTGTAGCAATGATTTAATTCAAAGAGATGGTTAACAAGATATATCAAGGATAGATTTCGTTAACCTAACTTATATATATATTTGATTAATCAAGCATGTGAACTCGTTTCTGATTAATACAATCATGTATCCTTTCAATACCGTCTATGTCTAGAGCAATTTCGTGAATATTATTGTATCTGTCATTAGATGATGTCTCATGCTAGCAACCAATACAATAATCGTTAAGAACAACACAAAACAAATATCAACTCACAAATCTATGTCAAGAGTTTGTTTGTTGAAAGATGAGTATTTTAGGTCAAGGTTTGTAAAATATATGTCTAGAGTGATACAAATTATAAATGGATCTTTAAAAACAAAAACATTCAACATATATTAATCATTCACTTGTTCACATAAAAATAGATCAAAAGAAATACATACAAGCTAAGATAGACTACCTCTACCTTTGATACAAAGGATTTAGCTACCCATTGTCATGGTAGCTTTCTCTACAAGACAAGAAAGAAGATGAATGAGCATCCAAGATGAAAAATCGATCTAGGATGCAAATCCAGCTTGTACTTGCAAAATATCACTTCTTGATGAAGAAATGATGAAAACTAAGATTTTTTTCTCCCTAAGCCAATGTTGCAATATCAGAAAATAAGAGTTGGTAGGTTATGATCCCCAAAAAGTGGAAAAAATGACATAAATATCTTTTCCAAACCTGTCTTGTTTGCACTGTGAACACCTTGTTTGCACTGCAAACACCTTGTTTGCACTGCGAACACATTTTCGCATTGCGAACTCCACTTATAGGCACTTCAAGTGCCTCTGAACAGTTAAACTGCCCTTGAAGTTTCCTTGACTTTGCACTGCGAAGCTTTTGTTCGCACTGCGAACCTGCTCGCTCAGACCTCGCACTGCCACCAACCAGAGGTTTAGCTACTGCTATCCAAATTTTTTGATTATATGTTCCTTCGCTATGAGGTCACACTGAGAGCTCACTTTAACCTCGCTACTCCTTCGCACAGCGAATTTGCAGAATTCTTCCTCATTTCTTTGACTTCCTTGTCCATTCAATTTTGTCTTGTTCTTTGACAATCCAACCTATTTCCTACGCAATAACACACATATCAAGTCATCCAGTGGTAAAATCAATTATATTGTAGAATCTCATAAGAACATGAAATAATTCAATTGAAACTTGAGAAATAAGTTGAAAAATGCCAAGAATCTTGGATCAAAATAAGGCATATTTGGCATACAACACTGGTTCTTAATCAAAGTGGAGCAATTGATTGTGTTCCAAATATCTAGCCAATTCTAATTACAAATGACTCTATCAATCCTAATGGAAAAGTAAGCACTACCTTTCCTTCCATTGTTCCAAGTGTAATAACTACCATTAGTGCCAATATGCATAAACTCGTTTTGATTTGTCCAACTAAGAAACTCACTAGTTAAAGTTTTGTTTGGAGGACATCTACCAAAATTTTCTTGGAAACTAATAACTACATTGAAATCACCTAGCATGCACCAAGGGCCAATATTGTCCTGTTGAAGATTAGTAAGTTCATTATGTGAATTTCTCCGAATCACATGAGAGTTACATGCATATATAACGACAATGAAGAATTTTGTTTGATCCTCTTATATAGAAAAAAGTCACATGTTGTTGAGATAAACTCAACACAATGAGATTTATATCTATTTCACAAAAAGCCCATATATTTGAGTCATGACTCGGTCTAAAATTTAATATAAATCTCTTAAGTCTGATTTGTTTATGGCACTCACAAAGAAATGAGAATAAAATATCATTGGTTCAACATTCAAAAACAAGTTAGGCTATTGTTAATCACAAATATTTATAATTTTCTTTTTCTAAATTCAACAACATTTAGTTAATTATTTAGTTTCAATTTTAGACCTTCTAAAATCACTTTTAATTAGTCAAATATATTTTGATTAGAAATTATCTATTTTCTCTCAGCTAAATAATTGATTATAACTTTATAAAGAATTGTCCTTAAATTAGCTGTGTGTTTTGGATTGGCGGTGGACATAACTGATTTTGACATAATTGAGTTTGGTAGAATTGATTTTAACAAAATTGAATTTAGTACAATTGATTTATGTTTGGATACATTTATGTAAAAGTGAGTTGAACAATAAATTCTAGTATAAAAATTACATTTAAACTCAGAAGTTACAAATTCCAACTTCAAGTAGAATCAATTCTAGAGGTATAATCAATTCTACTTTAAAAGAACCAAACACTTCAAAATCACTCTAGAATCAAACCTACACATCTATAATTGTTTTTTCCTCTTTCAAAGTAAGGGAGAGAAGAACGATATAAACATAAATAACTATGCGAAAACTAGAGTACCTTGTATTAGGGTCAAAATATGATGGACACTCCGCACCATCAGCACGCTTAGAAAATGACCAAAAACAATAGCTTTCAGAATAAGAATCGTCATAAACAAACATTAAAGACGAAAAAATGAAGGAGGTAATGAGCATTACCAATATGGGAAAATCATTGTTAAGTAGCGTAAGATTTAAGGATAACAATATATATATTACATGGGATCATCAATACATCATAACTAACACAGGCCCAAACTTATCCATTCCAGATGAGTCGAATCTTGGGGCGTGGATTATAAATAACAAGGGAGAAACCGTTGCGACGACAACTTGGAATATGAAAGGGTACGAAGACCTGATCACTGTTGAAAGTAAAGCGATCTTGAACTTCATCGAATTGGTGAAGAAGATGATGAGGCAAAACATTGAGATCGAAACCGATTGCAAATTTACCGTTGACATGATGAATAATAAAAAAGATCAGCAAATTAAAGTCAACAAATTGTGGAATTGGTAGAAAAATTCTGAAACAAAGAAGAAAGTATGTATAAATTTACATAGGGATGAAGCGGGAATAGATAATTGGCTTCGAGAAATGGGGGGAAGACGACGCTGAAAATAAGAGATAAAACACACTTAGAAATTTTAAAAGAGCAAATGTGAAAAACCCTAAATAATTTTAGACATTGGCCTGTAATCCATGTTAGCAGAGTCCACAATGGTACAACAAATTTTTTGACTAGACACGGTATTAATGGCAAAAAAAAACTTATTTGTAAAGAAATTGGGCCAAAGGCCAAGTGAAATACAAGTTAAATAGGTTACTCGTTTTTTTTTATAAATAATTTTAAATTTGATTAAAATACATTTTTAGTAAATAATTTTAAACATAAAACATTTTATTATAATTAAATTTTAACCAAAATCAATTTTCATAATAATATATAACACACTTTTAATCAAAATTAATTTTCACTAAAAAAACACACTTTATTCAAATTCTATTTTTAAAGAAAGAAGGTACTTATACCAAAAAAGAAATAATACCTTTTCTGATTCCATTATAGAAAAAGCCACTTTTGGTTTCTCTCTAGGCCACCCTCAACGTGCTGATTCCATTATACATCTTTCCCTAGTTCAATCTCGTGGGCATCATTCTCTCTCTCCCCACACACAATCATTTTTTTAATTTTATAAAATATAATAACAATTATATTATATTATATTATATCTCTCACACACATCCATTTTATTCCCAAAAAAAAAAGAATTCATCGTTTCAGCTTTCAATTATTATTATTAATTATTATTCATGACATTAAAAGCTTAATGCATAGATTCTGACACTCCCATTGCTGTCCACCCTCATGCCACAAAAATCCATAACCTTTGCACATTTAGTTTCATCATACATTACATTTTTATATTCTATGCTACAGCCTGTCTCAATTTTTGTATCAACCTTATAGTACTCACCATAATCTTAATCCATGATTTTAATTCAATATTTTATATACTAGTACTAGTATTATTTATCATAATCAAACAAAGAGTTCAAAGTTTTGTAGCTCTGATTAGATATTAATTTCACTGCAAGAATGATTCATTTATTTGCACAAATGAGGACAAGTTTTCTGTAGCATTTTGAATGTGTACTTGTGATAAAAATAACATAGATTGAACCAAAGATTCACAAGTGTTTTTTTTTTTTTTTCTTTGTTTTTCTCTTTCTCTTTCTTAAAAGCCAATCAAGTTGAATCTTTTGTGTGTTTAATAACTCTGAAAAAAATTTATGGCTTTTTCTAAGAGCTTTTTTTAGAAGCTATTTTTTTCAATGGGGAAGAAAGGAAGTAGTTCATGGTTAACTGCTGTTAAAAGGGCATTCAGATCTCCAACAAAAGATAGTGAGAAGAGAAGTGGTAGAAGAAGAGAAGATTGTGATCAAGAAGAAGATGAAGAAAAGGTACTTCTAAGATTATGTTCTTTAATTATTATGATTAATTGATTATGGTTATGATTATGATTATGATTATGATTATGACCCTTTTTCTTGTTTTTGATTTTTGTTTCTATGACCCTTTTACTTTTACTTTCAAGTTATGGAAATGAAGTGTTGAAAAAAATGAAAAATTGTGAAAAAAATTACTTTTTTATTTTGTAGAAGAGAGAAAAAAGAAGATGGATTTTTAGAAAACCTGTTGTGAATCATGAAACTGTGAACAATAATACTCAACAAAGTACACCAACAAAGTTGAAGAATGATGTTGTTGTTGCTACTGCTGCTGCAAGTGTGGCTTCTTCAAGGACAGATCAAGATGAGAAGCATGCTCTTGCTGTGGCTATGGCTACTGCTGAGGCAGCAAGAGCCACTGCTCAAGCTGCTATGGAGGTTGCTAGGTTGACTAAGCCTGCAAATTATGCTCGAGAGCATTGTGCTGCTGTGGTGATACAAACTTCTTTCAGAGGCTATTTGGTGAGTTTGCATTATAGATCTAATTTGCATGTCTTGGATTACGGTGAGTTTGGCCAAATCATAATGGTACCGCGATTTTGATGAAGCTTTGAAGTCTAGCTTCTGTCAAAATCACGCTGACACTCGGTGGTTCTGACAAAGTTTAGCTTTTGTCAGTTTTGCCAGAATCACAGTGTGTCATTGTGATTTTGGTAAAAGCTACACTTTAGATCTTCAACCGAACCTTGACAAGGTGAGTTTTACAGAATCACATGTCATTGTGATTTTGCCAAACCAACTTGATATAAAGTTTATACGAAATGAAATTGAAAAGTACTTTTTTTCTTGTTGTGTGTGTTTGAACATTAAAGGCAAGAAGAGCGCTTCGAGCACTTAAGGGGTTGGTGAAGTTGCAAGCATTAGTGAGAGGCCACAATGTTAGGAAACAAGCAAAAATGACACTTAGGTGCATGCAAGCTCTTGTTAGAGTGCAAGCAAGAGTTCTTGACCAAAGGGTAAGGTCTACTTCACATGATGGAAGTAGAAAATCGACCTTTAGTGACACTACTAGTGTTTGGGATTCGCGGTATCTTCAAGATATTTCAGACCGAAAATCAATAGTAAGTTATAAGTATCATTGTAATTTGATCAGACCACCATCATTGGTTGTGTTTATTGGCTTACGTGTTTGAAACTCGTGTTGTTTTTGATAGTCAAGAGAAGGAAGTAGTGTTGCCGATGATTGGGATGATCGTCCACACACGGTTGAAGAAGTTAAGGCCATGTTGCAACAGAGGAAGGAAGCAGCTATGAAGAGGGAAAAGTCCTTGTCCCAAGCTTTTTCACAACAGGTTTTAGTTTCACCCTCTTTTTTCACATTTTTTTCTTGTTTTCTGAAAGTGCATGTTTGGATTGACAATTAGTTTGATTCATGTTTGGAGCACTTAGAATTGATTCTTGATGTGTAGTAGAATTGATTTTGAAATGTTTAGCTGCTCTCGAGTAGAATTGATTCTGGAAGTGTAGTAGAATTGATTCAGTTTTCCATAATTGATTCTGAAATTTATTGTTCACCCATTTTTGCTTCTTGGCTAACTGGCTTTTGGAAACTTCACAGATTTGGAGAAATGGCAGGACATCATCAATTGGAAATGAAGATGAACTTGAAGAGAGACCAAAATGGTTAGATAGATGGATGGCCACAAAACCATGGGAGAATAGAGGCAGAGCTTCAACAGATCAAAGAGACTCTATCAAGACTGTAGAAGTTGACACATCTCAACCTTATTCATATCTAGGAACAAACTACAGAAGATCACATCCAAATTACCAATACAATCCACACCACCAACCACAAAGACATTCTATTGCTTCACCACTCCATAGATCACACCAAAATGGATCCCCTAACCAATCCGTAACCACTCCGTCTCCGGCCAAATCAAGACCGATTCAAGTCCGGTCGTCGAGTCCTCGTTGTGTTAGAGAGGATAGAAGCTACCACCACACATCTCAAACACCAAGCCTAAGGTCTAACTACCATTACAATGGAAACTTGTACCAAAATAGTAGAGTTGGAACAAGCAATGGTGTTTCCAATGCTACACCTACATTGCCTAATTATATGCAAGCGACCGAGTCTGCAAAGGCCCGGATTCGCTCGCAGAGTGCGCCGAGGCAAAGGCCTTCGACGCCAGAACGAGATAGATCCGGATCAGTAAAGAAAAGGCTTTCTTTCCCTGCTCCGGATCCTTATAATGTAGGAGGAGTTGGTTACGGAAATTATGGACATAGTTTAAGAAGTCCTAGTTTCAAGAGTGTGAATGTAACATCACATTTCGGGATGGAGCAACATTCTAACTACTCTTCTTGTTGCACCGAGAGTCTCGGTGGCGAGGTTTCGCCTTCTTCAACCGGTGACCTTAGAAGGTGGTTGAGATAAGCCAAGACGAGACCATTCGGTCTCAACTGCAATCAGATCCAACGACTCTCGAAGCATTAAGTTACAATTATGACACATTAGGTTATTAATGACCATTTACTTGTTTTATTTTAACTATGGTGTGATGTTAGTGTTTATTTTAGTATTAACCATTTTGTTTTCACCTCAAAAGAAAGAAAGTTACCTAAGGGTGAAAACCTTAAAAATCTGATCTATGTTAGGAGCAAGAAGCTGAGAAACATTTAATGTGTTTTGGTTTCTATGATTTGTTTTCCATATATTTGTTTGAATGCCAAGATATGTGGTGGCCTACATCACTTGGGATGTTGAAACAATTGCATACACTACTTGAATGGCCTTAAATGGACTGTCTTGTCACAATAACATATGTAATATTTTGTAACTTAAAACTATGGTTGCCCTTAGCTTGTAATTGTAATGTACTTTTCTTTTGTTTTTTAATCCTTGCAAATTTATGAATAGTTAATTAGTCCATTAAATCAAAAAATTGTATATCAATTTAATTATATTATTAAAATATTTCTCTATAGTATTTGAATATGAGATGATAAAAAACCTCTTTTGTTTAATGACAAGTTTTCAATTTAGAGGAAGAACTTTGCTGGTTATTGTAGTTCTGACTCGAGAATTCTTAATTTTAAAATGTAGAGCTAAATTTATAGACAAGGAGCTAAATTGACCCATTTGTTCAATATATGATATTAAAATTTTATTTTGTAAATTTAAATAAATTGATACAATTGCAAGGAATAAAGTGTTAATACTAATGGATATATTACTCACCTGTTTCTATCAAGATATATATATATATATATATATATATATATATATATATATATATATATATATATATATATATATATATATATATATATATATATATATATATATATATATATATATATATATATATATATATATATATATATATATATATATATATATATATATATATATATATATATATATATATATATATATATATATATATATATATATATATATATATATATATATATATATATATATATATATATATATATATATATATATATATATATATATATATATATATATATATATATATATATATATATATATATATATATATATATATATATATATATATATATATATATATATATATATATATATATATATATATATATATATATATATATATATATATATATATATATATATATATATATATATATATATATATATATATATATATATATATATATATATATATATATATATATATATATATATATATATATATATATATATATATATATATATATATATATATATATATATATATATATATATATATATATATATATATATATATATATATATATATATATATATATATATATATATATATATATATATATATATATATATATATATATATATATATATATATATATATATATATATATATATATATATATATATATATATATATATATATATATATATATATATATATATATATATATATATATATATATATATATATATATATATATATATATATATATATATATATATATATATATATATATATATATATATATATATATATATATATATATATATATATATATATATATATATATATATATATATATATATATATACTTAAAAATCTGCAGACACTAAAGTTTAAAGCCTAGGTCATGTTGGACCTTTTTAACCCTACATGAGTAATTGATGTGACATAAGAAGATGCTGAAGGAAAGAGACATACAAGTATAATATGTTCTAATGAAAAAGGGTAAAAAAAAAAAAGATGTAGCTTGTAATATATATTTTTTTTACTTTTTCATGTAATATATTTTTTTTACCCTCTAAGCACGTGTAATTTAAATATTAAATTTGAAGGTAAAAAAAATATTATAGAGGTAACTTTGATGTTTAAGAGGTAAAAGAAATAAAATTTTAACATTTTAAAGGAGAGATTCAAATTTTTTTCCACAGATAAATTGAAACTCATTTATATTATAGAAGAGTGTTATATATTTAATCCCAAAAATAAAATAAAAAAAATATAAAAACGTTGTTAATTTGACTAAGAGCATTTTTAGTGAGAGTATATTAAGTGGGTAAACTAAGAGCATAATTATGAGAGTGGTAAAAGTCTATGTGTACTATTTGGTGTCAGAGTAACATGGATAATAAAGACTATTTATTGTGGTTTAAATTGACGCTGTATTTTAAATGGCACCGTTGCTTTTATGGAATTTATTGGTTTTGGATATAAATTTGAAACATAATGTAATTTTGTGGGATCCAGTTAGAGTTTTAAGTAAGTAGTATGGATATTTAGAAAATATAGTTAAGTGGTTTAAATATATTATATTAGATGAGACCCACTTATATCACCGACATGAGTAGTATGGATGTGGGTGCTCTAAGATATTTTTTGCGGATCCAAAGTGATGTGTAGACTTTAAAAATTTTATAGTTGATTTGAGTTGTTTTTACTTTAATGATAGTTGTTTATAAAAAAACTAAAACTTCATCCTATATTTTATATTATATATGGGTCTAAAGTGTTTTTACTTTAATATTATATGTTTCAAAATAAATAGTATGCGTTAGCTATATAATTGCCGGAAACTAAAAGTTAGTGAATTAAATGTCATGTTATAGGCATTTCAATGCAAATTATTTATAATTTAACTATTAAAAACTTGTATTAAAGATGCTTTAAAATGTGACTAACTATAGAAGTAAAACTAATGCTACTCTTTTGAGATGTAATTAATCATGAGAGTTGTTTGTGTTTAAAAAAGAGATAGGGTGACACTCGATAAAGTAAGAAGTCTAATGCACTGTGCCGTCTTGCACATTTTAAAAGACGGTTATGTTAGTCATGCATGTACAAAACCTTCCTCCATTTCCTCCATGTGAAAAAGAAGATCAACACATTTACTTTTTTGATTTTTGGGGTAGTCTCAAATTTATTATTAAAATCAATCTTAAAAAGAACAAATTTAAAATTAATTTTCTACATAAAGAATGAAATACTAGTATTACTCAAATGAAATGGTCAGGTGTTTTCTGCTACTACTTGATATGCAACAACCAAAATAGGGAAAAGTACATACAAATGAGCATTTAATATGAAGATATTATGAACATGGCTTACATTCACAGAAATCTTTCATTTGTTAAAAAACTACATTGGACTTTCATTTGTATCCTTTGCTTAGTTGAGTCATGAAATAGTACACTAAGGTGTGAAAAAAGTATTATTGCACCGTTACAATGATTCTAACTTGACAGCTTTTTTTGTTTGTTTCCTTCACTGAAATTCATAATCAGAAGTTTTGTGGATCTATGAGCTGTTTAAGGGTCCCATTTCACTGGATGCCAACAGTTACTAGGCAGTAGTACTATACTAGAAGAAGGGACATTTTATCTTTAGGTAAGTTAGTCTCTTATTAATTAAACGGTGAAGAAAATTAATTTTGAGATAAGTGATTTTAGTTAAAAGTGATTTATATTTTAGGTCATTAAAATAAAAGTGATTCTTATAAATTTATATTGTTTAGATAGCTTAAATAACTTGATGATAAATACATAATTACGATTTGCTTTGTGTCACTCCAATGTCCAATTAAAGAAAGCTTATTTATTGCTCTGAAATGGAGTCCAATAACCTCTCAACCTAGATATATATTTAAGGGCGGGAAATGGATATGTCCATTTCTTTTAAGTTCGTTCGGCAAAAATCCATAAAATAATTAGATGGGATATACATAATCGAGGGTTTAGGTCGGTCTAGAAAGAAAAAAAAAGAGGTAGGTAGGTTTCGCAGATATTATATCATTTAAACTTTAAAATTGTAAAATTTTATATTAATGCTCGTGCCTATAAAAAATCTGTAAAAAAATGGGGTGGGACGGGACAAACACATTAGAGGGTGCAAATTTAAAACATTAGTCTGCGCAACAATAAAAATGAGGGCAAAATAGACATGCTCAGCGGATTGGCCCATAGGTAATTCTGTTTACACAACAAAATCCGATAATGGGGACGAATATGTTGGCCTTTGAAGGCCAGGGTTCACACCATTTCGAACCAAGATTCGCTCGACAATGGTTTCTAGGTTTTGTTCTCTAGCCATTGCATCCCGTCGAACTTGCTTGACCACGCGGTCGGGATCTTGGTTCCTATTAACTAACACGACGGGAGGACGTTGGGCCACCCTAGGTATTGGTTCGACCACCTGGGGTTCTTGGTTAATTGTCTCGTCGAACCTCTCTTCGTGTCGGACTGGTACCTCTGGTTGAGGCAGGTTGTCTGTCAAACTTATTCCCTAAGAGCACTTAAAAAATTACCTATTCAAGTCATATGAGTTGCCAATTGTTGGTAACTCTGAGTCGAACCCTAAATTAATGGCCTAACTATGGTACCCATTTGATGAGTTAGCATATGAACCATTTTGTGATTACTTTCGTCCATCTGCTGCCTCATAACTGTGACAGAACTTGAGGTGAAAGTTGGGATTGCCTGAGATGGAAATCCTAGCCCTGTGGTTCGACCGAATTGGTTTCCCATAGGTCCTAATCCATGGTAAGCTGAGAACGTTGAGGATGAATTTTCTCTAAATGTCGAACCACTACTATGTATACTTGCCATTAATTCATTTGGCATTCCAAATCTTCGATCCCTTCCATACATGGGCATTTAGAAACTGGGCATATATAGCCCTGAAGTTCCAACCACCGTCGGTCTTAGAGCTTCAGGCCGATGCGATGATAGTACTGGTCCACTGTGGGTAGTCGAAACCGCAACCATAGTATTAGAACCAACATCAGTTGCTTCTGACACAAATGCATTTCCTCCCGAGGATTTCTCCTCGTTTGGACTGGTATTTCGTGAATCTACCATTTTCTTACCACTACACAATTTCATCTACTTAACACAACAGGTCCCACCAGGTGTGCCAATTTGTT